GGCTGTGGAGCGAGCACGCTGCACGGACACTAGGGCTGTGGAGCGAGCACGCTGCACGGACACTAGGGCTGTGGAGCGAGCACGCTGCACGGACACTAGGGCTGTGGAGCGAGCACGCTGCACAGACACTAGGGCTGTGGAGCGAGCACGCTGCACAGACACTAGGGCTGTGGAGCGAGCACGCTGCACAGACACTAGGGCTGTGGAGCGAGCACGATGCACAGACACTAGAGTTGTGGAGCGAGCACGCTGCACAGACACTACGGCTGTGGAGCGAGCATGCTGCACAGACACTAGGGCTGTGGAGCGAGCACGATGCACAGACACTAGAGTTGTGGAGCGAGCACGATGCACAGACACTAGGGCTGTGGAGCGAGCACGCTGCACAGACACTAGGGCTGTGGAGCGAGCACGCTGCACAGACACTAGGGCTGTGGAGCGAGCACGCTGCACGGACACTAGAGCTGTGGAGCGAGCACGATGCACAGACACTAGAGTTGTGGAGCGAGCACGCTGCACAGACACTAGAGCTGTGGAACGAGCACGCTGCACAGACACTAGGGCTGTGGAGCGAGCACGCTGCACAGACACTAGGGTTGTGGAGCGAGCACGCTGCACAGACACTAGGGCTGTGGAGCGAGCACGATGCACAGACACTAGAGTTGTGGAGCGAGCACGCTGCACAGACACTAGAGCTGTGGAGCGAGCACGCTGCACAGACACTAGGGCTGTGGAGCGAGCACGCTGCACGGACACTAGAGTTGTGGAGCGAGCACGCTGCACAGACACTAGGGCTGTGGAGCGAGCACGCTGCACGGACACTAGGGCTGTGGAGCGAGCACGCTGCACGGGACACTAGAGCTGTGGAGCGAGCACGCTGCACAGACACTAGGGCTGTGGAGCGAGCACGCTGCACAGACACTAGGGCTGTGGAGCGAGCACGCTGCACAGGACACTAGGGCTGTGGAGCGAGCACGCTGCACAGACACTAGAGCTGTGGAGCGAGCACGCTGCACAGACACTAGGGCTGTGGAGCGAGCACGCTGCACAGACACTAGGGCTGTGGAGCGAGCACGCTGCACAGACACTAGGAGCTTGTGGAGCGAGCACGCTGCACAGACACTAGGGCTGTGGAGCGAGCACGATGCACGGACCTAGTTGGAGCGAGCACGCTGCACAGGACACTAGAGCTGTGGAGCGAGCACGCTGCACAGACACTAGGGCTGTGGATGCGAGCACGCTGCACAGACACTAGGGCTGTGGAGCGAGCACGCTGCACCAGACACTAGGGCTGTGGAGCGAGCACGCTGCACACGACACTAGAGCTGTGGAGCGAGCACGCCTGCACAGACACTAGAGCTGTGGAGCGAGCACGCTGCACAGGACACTAGGCTGTGGAGCGAGCACGCTGCACAGGACACTAGGGCTGTGGAGCGAGCACGCTGCACCAGACACTAGGGCTGTGGAGCGAGCACGATGCACAGGACACTAGGGCTGTGGAGCGAGCACGATGCACAGACACTAGGGCTGTGGAGCGAGCACGCTGCACGGACACTAGAGTTGTGGAGCGAGCACGCTGCACAGACACTAGGGCTGTGGAGCGAGCACGCTGCACAGACACTAGGGCTGTGGAGCGAGCACGCTGCACAGACACTAGGGCTGTGGAGCGAGCACGCTGCACAGACACTAGGGCTGTGGAGCGAGCACGCTGCACGGACACTAGAGTTGCGGAGCGAGCACGATGCACAGACACTAGGGCTGTGGAGCGAGCACGCTGCACGGACACTAGGGCTGTGGAGCGAGCACGCTGCACAGACACTAGGGCTGTGGAGCGAGCACGCTGCACAGACACTAGAGCTGTGGAGCGAGCACGATGCACAGACACTAGGGCTGTGGAGCGAGCACGCTGCACGGACACTAGAGTTGTGGAGCGAACACGCTGCACAGACACTAGGGCTGTGGAGCGAGCACGCTGCACAGACACTAGGGCTGTGGAGCGAGCACGCTGCACAGACACTAGAGCTGTGGAGCGAGCACGATGCACAGACACTAGGGCTGTGGAGCGAGCACGCTGCACGGACACTAGAGTTGTGGAGCGAGCACGCTGCACAGACACTAGGGCTGTGGAGCGAGCATGCTGCACAGACACTAGGGCTGTGGAGCGAGCACGCTGCACAGACACTAGGGTTGTGGAGCGAGCACGATGCACAGACACGCTGCACAGACACGCTGCACAGACACTAGGGTTGTGGAGCGAGCACGATGCACAGACACTAGGGCTGTGGAGCGAGCACGCTGCACAGACACTAGGGCTGTGGAGCGAGCACGATGCACAGACACTAGGGCTGTGGAGCGAGCACGCTGCACGGACACTAGAGTTGTGGAGCGAGCACGCTGCACAGACACTAGGGCTGTGGAGCGAGCACGCTGCACAGACACTAGGGCTGTGGAGCGAGCACGCTGCACAGACACTAGGGCTGTGGAGCGAGCACGCTGCACAGACACTAGGGTTTTGGAGCGAGCACGATGCACAGACACGCTGCACAGACACGCTGCACAGACACTAGGGTTGTGGAGCGAGCACGATGCACAGACACTAGGGCTGTAGAGCGAGCACGCTGCACAGACACTAGGGCTGTGGAGCGAGCACGATGCACAGACACTAGGGCTGTGGAGCGAGCACGCTGCACAGACACTAGGGCTGTGGAGCGAGCACGATGCACAGACACTAGGGCTGTGGAGCGAGCACGCTGCACGGACACTAGAGTTGTGGAGCGAGCACGCCGCACAGACACTAGGGCTGTGGAGCGAGCACGCTGCACGGACACTAGGGCTGTGGAGCGAGCACGATGCACAGACACTAGAGCTGTGGAGCGAGCACGATGCACAGACACTAGGGCTGTGGAGCGAGCACGCTGCACGGACACTAGAGTTGTGGAGCGAGCACGCTGCACAGACATTAGGGCTGTGGAGCGAGCATGCTGCACAGACACTAGGGCTGTGGAGCGAGCACGATGCACAGACACTAGGGCTGTGGAGCGAGCACGCTGCACGGACACTAGGGCTGTGGAGCGAGCACGCTGCACAGACACTAGGGCTGTGGAGCGAGCACGCTGCACAGACACTAGGGTTTTGGAGCGAGCACGATGCACAGACACGCTGCACAGACACGCTGCACAGACACTAGGGTTGTGGAGCGAGCACGATGCACAGACACTAGGGCTGTAGAGCGAGCACGCTGCACAGACACTAGGGCTGTGGAGCAAGCACGATGCACAGACACTAGGGCTGTGGAGCGAGCACGCTGCACAGACACTAGGGCTGTGGAGCGAGCACGATGCACAGACACTAGGGCTGTGGAGCGAGCACGCTGCACGGACACTAGAGTTGTGGAGCGAGCACGCCGCACAGACACTAGGGCTGTGGAGCGAGCACGCTGCAGGAACACTAGGGCTGTGGAGCGAGCACGCTGCACGGACACTAGAGTTGTGGAGCGAGCACGCCGCACAGACACTAGGGCTGTGGAGCGAGCACGATGCACAGACACTAGGGCTGTGGAGCGAGCACGCTGCACGGACACTAGGGCAGTGGAGCGAGCACGATGCACAGACACTAGAGCTGTGGAGCGAGCACGCTGCACGGACACTAGAGTTGTGGAGCGAGCACGCTGCACAGACATTAGGGCTGTGGAGCGAGCATGCTGCACAGACACTAGGGCTGTGGAGCGAGCACGATGCACAGACACTAGGGCTGTGGAGCGAGCACGCTGCACGGACACTAGGGCTGTGGAGCGAGCCTGCCGCCGTCCTCCACGTCGTTGTGGGACTGCTCAGGAAGATGAAGAGGCAAGAAGGAGGAACATTGACTTCACACTCGCTCACTATTTGTAACTGTACCAAGAAGAATCTCAGCGTGCATGCCTCACACACCACAACGAGGGAATTGTGTATGGTCGCGTTGCCATGAGACAGCCTTTTGTTTATTTTAATCACGTGATTGTGAGATCAGATCGTTGACGTTTTCTAGCAATTTGATTCGCATTTGATGAGAACGAATTCTGCGCGAATATTGCCACTTTGAGGCGTCGCCTCTTGTTCTGGTTTGAACACTGTGGTCGAGAGAGTTGACCATTGATGCTTGATGATCATCCAGTGAGGATCGATGAGTACGTATAGATTTGCATATGCACTGTTGTTGGATTTCTGACGATAAAGAGTTGTTGGGTGTTCGGGTAAGTTGAGATTAAAGTTGCTTAGATGAAAAACAGGTTTCCGAGTGCTTATTTCCCAATCTCGTGCATCACTGTCGTAATGCGGTGAGATCTGAATCCCGAGACCTGACATAATTACACACATAATTGTTAAAGCGAGAATCTTAAATGTTGAAGCGAGAATCATTTATATTATCACGATGGGTGATACATACCCCGAGACAACACATTTAATTTAATTGATTATTTCTGTAAATCACAATATAGACAACGGTATGGTTATCACTAGGCAAACATGGCAAGCATAATGCATTTACCACCACTTACAGGGTCACTCCTCTTGTCCGCAAACAACGAGGAAAACAAAGACTCCCATTTGCGGATAAAAGGGTGATTTGGCTCTTTCGCAGCGTTTTGTTTGAGTGCAGCAGTCCCCGTGCCATGTGACCCTGAGAGCAGTGCGAGAGCTTTAAACCGCCATGACGTGCAACGTTGGGCCGACGTCGGCTCAACGTTGCACGATTACCGGGTCATTAGAGGCAATTTTAATTCAGCCCATCATCTACCTGTCTAGGGTCAATAAAATGAGTACCGCTCTGTGGGAAGTCAGCACCGGTTGTCCTCTGGAGAGAAAGGCCAATGCCATGGGAACCTGGACCCTCCACCAATAGCAGAAAGGATTAGCACCGTCCCAGCACCGCTGCTTTCAGTGGCGAGACGCTTCGACTCTGACAAATTGAAAACCATTCGCCCCGAGCATTTTATTTCCAAGGAAGTGCAACGTCCACACTATCAGCTCCCGTCCGACGGCAATGTTGTTGTAGGGGCAGGCCTTGCGGTTGCGCCTGCGTTCGGAAACGCCAAATGCGCTCGACGCACGCAATCCCGCGCGGCAAACGAGACGAGCGGCGGAGGATCTGGCGGGTGGGCACCGGTGGTCGATCGACTGAGCCGATCGTCCCTTAAGCGCAGTGCCGGATTAAGCTAGTACGGGGCCTGTAGCATATGTAATAAAGGGGTCCTAAACATAAAAAACAAATAAATATTAAAACACGTACATTTTAACTTGCATAGTAAAGTAATTGGATTTGTTTCATTTTCTATACAGCCAGATAATACGACAAATCACTAACCTTAAACACCGAGTCGTCCATAAAAGTTGAAGGCAGTATAGTACTATAGTAATAGAGCAAGTGCAGAATTACTTAACCGGAATTGATAGCTTGAAAGCATTTAGCGCGGGGACTTTGACAGTGCGGGGCCCGTAGCATTATGTAGCTACTTTTGCTACTACGATAATCCGGCACTGCTTCAGCGTGCAAACCAGAATCGTCATTTATCCTCGAGAAATCCGATGCACTATGAAGCTCTTTGTTTTCTAACAGATGTCCAGCAGGGTCGGGTCGGAAACCCCATGGCTATTTCGGAGCCGTCATCGGAGGGGACCACCGCCCCATGCTCATTGCAACACGAAGGCGATTCGTTTTCGTGATGATTAAGATGATTTTTTATTATTTATCTGGGAAAGCCTCGCCGAGTCTCAAGACTCGCTTCAGGAACGTCGCACATCGGGACGTTGGGCCAATAGCATTCGCGATTGGCAAGTTGGGGGAAGTATGGAAACCCAGTGAACCCCCCCCCCCCCATGCCTACAACACCTGGCAAGCCCCAGGTGCAGGCACCGCACCCACGCACTAGCCAAGCTCAGCTCCGCTCAGCTGACGAGGTCCGATGAGACCCGGTGCATTCAGAGTGGTTTAGTCACAGGCCTTGGAATGGCAGGAGCGTCTACTCCAGTGGCGTAGCGATCAAGCATGTACGTATGAATGTTGAACTTCTTTCGCACCGTACGTAACCAACCGTGATGATCGGAGGTGCAGGGGGGGGGGGGGGGAAGGACAACAAACTAACACACACAAAGCAGTTCTAAAGAAATTAGTTTCAATCTAGATCATTTAAAAGTGCATTTCTCCCAGTGACTTCCTAATAGCGGAAGGAAGAGCATTTGAGACGGCCGCAGACGCGCATCTCCGAAAGCGCGCGGTGATGCGGTGACCACCGTCTCGGTTCGATCGACAGCAGCCAAAAGCCGCCGCTGCCGCCGTTGCCGCCGCTGCGGCCGCGAGGTGCAACTGCACCGGGGGCCCACGGGGCCAAGGGATGGAGGCGCTGGGCCTTCGTACGAGGGGCTGAACATTGAGCAGGGCGCCCCCCATCGCAGCCTTCGCACCAAGGCGCACGCCAAAACCACGCCGCCACCGCATCTGCCGGTGGGAGAAACGGCACGACGCGGGGGTGTTCTCCTCCTCCTCTCTCACCGCCGCCCGCAGCGCGGACGTGCGGATCACACCACTGGACCGCCGGCAACTCGTTGCCCCAGAGCAGCCGCTCTGTGCACTCGCCACCGGGCTATATCCAGCGGCCCTAAAGGGATAAGGGCCCCGCAACTGTGAACCTTGGAGCCTTGGACTTCACGCACCTACAGGGGGCCACATAAAGACAACCCCCCCCCTCCTCCCCTGTTTAAACCTTACAGACTGTTGGGGCTGTTATCAGGCATCTATTAATGACCGCAAAGACAAAGATCCCCCATATAGCCTTAACAGACTGTTGGAGCAAGTGCTGTTAGCGAGCACCTATGACGGTCGGCACGGCACATGATGGGAGTGCGTGGCCAGCACCACGCACGGCCGCCTTTGTCTCCCTTATGGTGATTTTTGTATGCACCGCACCCGGTATTCATTTGAGGCTGAGACGACCTAGGGGAGGCCCAGGACCGGTTCAGATAATCGTCACCGGTGTTGGCCGTGAGCGTGAATCAAACTCGGGTCGCCAGGTTCGAAGCGCAGTGCGCTAAACACTACGCTACCGCTCCCCCCCCCACACACACACGCACCGCTGCCTTTGCCTCCCCAATGAGGATGCTGACCACTCCAATGCACGGCGCGTGTTTCGAACGTCTGCACATTCAAAAATGAGTGCTGCGGCCAGGCCCATCTCCGTGAGTAGCTCCGAGCCGACGGTGAAAATTCCACACTCCAACGCTGGTGGCTAATTACTCCGGCAGGACGGGTCACTACTCATGCACCACCAAGCCGTTCTGATTTTATACTCCCCGGAAGGATGATGAGCTGAGTCGATCCCCCCTCCCCTCCCCACAAAGATTTTTGATATTCGCAGCCTTCTTATTTTGACATTGCGGTGTCACCGAGCTGCACTGATGTGGTCTCGGTTCCAGATTACTTCTCCGAGTCAAGCGTGTTCCAGATTACTTCTCCGAGTCAAGCGTGTTCCAGATAACTTCTCTGAGTCAAGCGTGTTCCAGATTACTTCTCTGAGTCAAGCGTGTTCCAGATTACTTCTCTGAGTCAAGCGTGTTCCAGATTACTTCTCTGAGTCAAGCGTGTTCCAGATTACTTCTCTGAGTCAAGCGTGTTCCAGATTACTTCTCTGAGTCAAGCGTGTTCCAGATTACTTCTCTGAGTCAAGCGTGTTCCAGATTACTTCTCTGAGTCAAGCGTGTTCCAGATTACTTCTCTGAGTCAAGCGTGTTCCAGATTACTTCTCTGAGTCAAGCGTGTTCCAGATTACTTCTCTGAGTCAAGCGTGTTCCAGATTACTTCTCTGAGTCAAGCGTGTTCCAGATTACTTCTCTGAGTCAAGCGTGTTCCGGATTACTTCTCTAAGTCAAGCGTGTTCCAGATTACTTCTCTGAGTCAAGCGTGTTGCAGATTACTTCTCCGAGTCAAGCGTGTTGCAGATTACTTCTCTAAGTCAAGCATGTTCCAGATAACTTCTCTGAGTCAAGCGTGTTCCAGATTACTTCTCTGAGTCAAGCGTGTTCCAGATTACTTCTCTGAGTCAAGCGTGTCCCAGATTACTTCTCTAAGTCAAGCGTGTTCCAGATAACTTCTCTGAGTCAAGCGTGTTGCAGATTACTTCTCTGAGTCAAGCGTGTTGCAGATTACTTCTCTGAGTCAAGCGTGTTGCAGATTACTTCTCTGAGTCAAGCGTGTTGCAGATTACTTCTCTGAGTCAAGCGTGTTCCAGATAACTTCTCTGAGTCAAGCGTGTTCCAGATTACTTCTCTGAGTCAAGCGTGTTCCAGATTACTTCTCTGAGTCAAGCGTGTTCTAGATTACTTCTCTGAGTCAAGCGTGGCTCTCGTCGCACGACGCTTGGCTGAGTCACAATCCAGGTTCATAAACCACTTCCCGCCCGTGCTAATGGGCCTCACAGCCACGGATTGACCCGGGGTCGCCGGGCCCTGAGAGCATGCGACAAAATCACTCCAGCACCACTTCCTGCTACACACACACACACACAGCTCACGTACACTTTTAAAACTCAACTTTTATATTACCAGGTCAGGCTCCACTGAGCTACAATAACTCTTTTTCAGAAGTGACCTGGCCACAAATGAAAGCTCAATAAGGTGGCTTATCATCAAGTGGAAATTTATATCAGCCATATACGGTAAGCGCACGTTTCTAAATGTGGAGGGAAAAAGCAGAAGACCTGGAGAAAAATCCACACGACCACGGCGAGAGAGAGAGAACACGCAAACTCCAAATATACAGCAGGCGTCAGGGTCGGAATCAAACCCACGACCTCCTGTATACCAGGCGAGGTAGTTCACATCTTGCCACCGTGGCGCCCAGCAGGAGACTTCAGAAAAGACAAAAATCCCATGTGTAGCCTTAACAGACTGTTGGGGCAAGTGCTGTTAGTGAGCACCTACGAAGACCGGCACGGCACACAAGGCGGTGGGGTGGTCAACACCACGCCCGGCCGCCTTTATCTCCCCAGTGGAGATGTTTACACACTGCACCAGGTACTCATTTGAGGTTGAGTCGACCTAGGGGAGGCCCAGCACCTGTTCAAATAGTCGCCACTGGTGGTGGTCGCCGTGAGCGGGAATCCAACCCGGGTCGCCACCGCTCCCCGCACACGCAAACACGCGCCCACGCCCACGTGTGCCTTTCGCATGATCGGGGCGAGATGAAACCACATCTGAACGGAGCTCAACTCGACTTATCTTTTATTTTATTTTCTGTCGTCACAGTCACAGCAGCTAAGCGTCGGAGATGGATTGGTACCAGATAAGGGAGGTGAGCAGGTGCACAGGAGGTGAGTGCTCCGCAGAGAACGAGAGCCAAGTTTCTGTTAACACAACCATCAACCGCATTGCTTGTTCTGCACTTTTGTGTTTTATCCCCAACCCCCCATCCCCCTCCCGCCCCGCGTCGCTCACAGCAGCCCCTCTCGTCGCAAGTAGAAAGGTCACGAGTTCAAATCTCAGCTGGGTGCAGGGGGCGACTTACCCCGTCGTGCTTCTGGGGAGAGACAAAATGAGTACTCCACTCGCTCCACGGACACTGTGGCGCTAAGTGGTGTGGCTCCGACAGGTGGTGTGTTTTGGCGGGGGCCAGCGTCTCCACCGCTGCTGAAGGGCTGCCAACAGAGCTCAGAATGGCATCACCCCTTCACAGCACGTTTCGGATTCTACGTGGACCTCGACAGAGAGGGCTACAGTGGCAGTCCATCGTGCCTGCGGATGACTTCACGCGACATTAATTTTACTACGCGGGCTTTCGCGACCAATGTTATGATTCGTAATTTAGTTTTCTTTTTGGGTGGCGGAGGGTTCAGAAAGCGACGTTGTAGACGGAGCCTTCTGCAGCCAGGCTGCCGCGATTGTGGAATCCCCTCCCTCGGTTCTTTGGGGTTTTCGGTAAAGTCACGTAGATAGGTTCAAGGAAAATCACAAAAAAATAACAAAAAAACTACGTTTCAATCACAACACAAGCGATCGTCGTCAGGAGGACGATCGCTTGTGTTGTGATCGAAACGTCGTAGTTTTTTTACCGAAAAACCCACAGAATATGAATTCCTGCAATCACGAAAGCTTTAAGTTAAGATTCTGAGTCTGTTCCAGTGTTTAAATCAATGTCTTAAAACACGCCTATTTGTTCTTGCAGACTTTCCCCATAACTTAAGATTTGATAACCACTTTTGTTATCGGAATGGATTACTCTGTAATTATTCTGAATCATTGTTCTATTTTCACCTTTCTATTCTGCTTAGATTTTATCTCTACTTGTGAGTATAGTTTTTTTTAACGTACAGTGCTTTGAGATACTTCAATACTTCAATATACATCGCCACGGTGACTATGAAATGTTCACTATTTCACCTGAAGGAGCGCGTGGGTTCAATCCTGACCCTGACGCCTGTATATTTGGAGTTTGCACGTTCTCTCTGTGATCGCGTGGATTTTTCTCCGGGTCCTCTGGTTTTTTCCTCCACATTTAGTATCAACATCACGCGCTTAAAGTAGTTGGCCGCTATACATTTCCTCGTGATAAGCCACTTCGTCGGAGCATCATTTGTGGCCAGGTCGCTTCTGAAAAATAGCTGCTTAACTCAGTGGGGCCTTACCTGGTAAAATACAAAATAGTTCAGTTTTTAATAGTTTATGAAAGATGCATTATGAACTTGAGGTGATTATGATTACACCATCTCATCCAAAAGTAACCAATTATGTTCAACAAAATCGTTGCCTTGCACGGGCGTTTGGAAGACAATGCCACAATCATTCGAGCAGGCAAACGCTTTCATATGGCCTCATGTTTGCTCTCCACCGCAACGTAGCTGACGCGCGACATGTGAAATGGAACCGGTTGCAGTGAATTATTACGAGCTCGCGACGCTCACGTTGGATCATCGGAGTGTTTCACACGTCCTGTTGGCATGAGCTCGAAGGCAAAGTGTGCGCGGTGGCTGAGTAATGCAGGAGGCCAAAGTTAATAAAGCTCCGCTGAGAATGGGGACTTAAATCATGGGTCTCCACCCGCGGAATTAAATCCGCTTCTCACGTGGAGCAAATCCCATCGTCTCAACCTCGCGCAGGGAGTGGCCACTCACCCTGGCGCGTGAGCCCGTTCTGAATATTTCCCCGGTTGGCACAGGTTAAAGATAAGGAGCATGGAGCCGCTGCGGGGGCCCAAACAGACGCACGCCGACAGCACTGGCGGCTGCGGTGTGCACGGCGGAAACAAGAAAGGGAGACCTCTTTTTGCCGTTTTCTGCCGATACATCATCGATCGGAAAGGTCCATCATTGTTTGAGCCGCCCCACCCGTACCTGCACGCCCGCGGTGCCGATGGCAGCGGCGGCTCACGCGGCACCGGCTGCCGCCGCTGGCTGCTCGAGTCAACACGGGAGGGTGGGGGGGGGTTGGAGGGGGGTGGTGGGACTCTGCATTGTCGAGCGTGCGACGTGTGGACGACCCAGAGGGCCCAGCCACCTGGGTCTGGGCTGCCAGACTGCCGCAGCGTTGCTTGCGGACCCTCGGCCAATGCCGCGGCCGCGTTGATTTGTTGTCTCGGTGATGCCGCCCGCTCGGTGTGCACGCTGAACTTCCTTCGCGCCGTGCGTAGCCAACCACGCTAATCGGCGTGTGCGGCGGAAGGACAACAAACTAAACACAAAAATCAGTTCTAAAGAAATTAGTTTTAAATGCAGATGATATAAAAGTGTGAAGCTCCAGTTGGTTCCTAATATCGGAAGAGCATTCCAGACGGCCACAGAAGTGCATCGGGGCCGGCCCCATCATCCTCTTCCCCACCACATTGAGTGCCCAAATTGCACCCCACCCCCTCCCCCCTCTTCCCAGCCCAGCTCTCCAAACCTCTCCCCTCTCGATCACCCCTCCGCCAGCACCCCCCGCCTGCCCCCCACCCCTCTCCTCTTGGCCGTCTGCCACCGCTCAGTGCTGCAGTAACGATGTCTTACATTTCCCCTGCGGCTCAGCGCGCCACACACCCCACTTTTAGATCTGCTCTGATAAACACCACACGGTTGTGGCAACTCAAGTGGAGTTGCAAGATATGTTCGTGACGGATGGGGGGCACACACCTGGTCCATTAACGTGTTCGCTGCATAAAATGGGGGGGGGAGGGTGCGGGGGGAGAGAGAGACGTGGGACACTTGCCATGAGCCAATCGTAAGCGCTGGAACAAAAGCATTGTTGATGATGGCACAACACGCGAACATTAGATATTTTATTGTTCCCACCCCCATGAGGGCTCCGCTCAGCTCCACACATGCGAGTAGCTAGTGAGTGTGCAGGCGGTCCAACTGCGTGAGGTCTCAGCGCCTGGGGGGCCCAGACTCCGGGCTACAGAGACGGAGTAAGTTGTAGAGTTGCCAATATTGAATTCCTTTGCACCAGGGCCCGTGCCAACCACGCTACACAAACCCGCTCCATCATTCCCCTGGGGATAATAAAACGAGAACCGCCCAGATGTAAGCACGTAGGCATGTTGAACTTCTTTCGCTCCGTACGTAGCCAGCCCGCGCTAATCGGAGGTGCTTACTGGTAAGCCAACAGCGGTTTGCCTATGGACCCGTGGCCCTGGGAATGCTACACACTTAGAACTGTCAATGGCGATGAGCGCCACCACGTTTGAGCTGTCACCGTGTGTGACCGGACGCGTCCGTCAGCTGCGCTGCAGGTTTCAACTCTTGTCAACATCTGAAATGGAGTTTTCAAAGTTGCGGTTGGAGGTTGTTTTTTTTTCTTTCCCCTCGGCTGGACTACGACAATAGCCTCACCCCCCCAGCTAACGTAGCGCGAGACGAACCGTGGAAGGACACGCTACGTCTACAGGCGCTGCGACGACGTTTCTCGGCTGCTCCACGAGATGTGAAGCGGTGGCTCCTCCTTTCGTACGCGCGGCCTCGGATGCCACGAGGTGCTCGTCGGCGAGCGCGAGGGGATGAGCGTCGTGCGTGTCGGGTGGCACCCCGGGCCCGAGCTCGAGGCTCAATGGCCCAACGCGGCACCGTTGCCGGGGCCGCTCCGACTCACTCAGACTCTGCCGCTCAGACTCGCTCAGACTCACTCAGACTCTGCCGCTCCGACTCTGACTCTGCCGCGCACGCTTCGGGCCTCGCGGGAAGGTCTCGCCCACGCGTGCATGTCGCTCCTTTCAAATCGCACCGGCTAATTGGCGGCCAAAAAAAAGTTTCAAGCCAACGAGTCACGGGCGGCACGATGCGACGCGTAGCGCGAGAGGGGGGGGGGTCCCGCCGCGCGATTAACGCTGCGTCCCCATGACCGCTGGGAAGTGGCACGGCGTCTTTCACAAACTGGGCGAGTGGGCCGTGCCCAGATTGCCGCTGTCTTCCCGGTGCCACGGCAGCACCGGCCAACCGCTTGTTGTCCGCGCCTCCAGCGCCGGCCGTGCCACGCCAGCGCCGGCCGTGCGGTGCGGCTCGCGCTCCTCGGGCGGCCACGCGCGGCCACTTGGGCCGCCCCTGTGACGGGTCGTGACTTAACGGGGTTCGGTGGAGCTGATGAGGACCATGGATGCGCGAGCAATGGCCAATGGGGTCTCTTGTTTTCACCAACCGCTGGGCTGTGGTTTTTCGAAAAAAAATATATAAATCGGCGGAAAATGACAACAATTTACTCGATTAATATATCTCGGCTCAGGAGAGCACGTAGCATCTCCCGAGGGAACGGAAACGCTTGCGTCGCTCCGGCCATAAAAGGAAGGGAGGGGGCAGGGAGAAAGAGGCGCCAAGTCCATGGAGCCTCACGTGGACCGACAGGCACACTCGGACTAGCCAGCGGCACCGCTATCGAGCGCGTGCAGGCGGTGCAACTGCTCGAGGATCCACGGGTCTACAACCAGGGCGCTTCAAAGTCACGCGATCCAAATCCCATTGACAACACCGACTCACTGCACGGGGTAAACCCACAGCGTCCCCACGGCCCGCAGTGAACAACCGGTCGAGGACTCGGCTCACTCGGGAGGCCCCGAGGCGGGGGCGGTGGAGACACTCCGTCCAATCTCGCCGTGACAAGTCTCTCTCCGTTGGGCTGCCATTGTCGGCTCGCCACGAGGCCGACCGTCGTTTCTTTCGGCCACGGGGACATCGACGGGCTGAGTCGACCCCCCCCCCCCTGCCCCCGAACGAGGATTACAACATCGCGGCACGCAGTCGTTTTCTCTTGATCGCTTATTGACGCGAGATTGAACATCTCACTCTTGCAGTCGCTTGGACAATGAGTTCTACTTTAAAAACGTAACTTTTATGGGAGTCGAGGGCCAGCCTCTTAAGCAAACAGAACGTCATCACGGCCCCTATTTTCAGACACTGTCTTGTATTTTCACATGCACAGTTTTTATTGCCCGTCAACAAAGCGCTGCCAACCACAGGGCCATTTACAACGTGACTCATGCGGCTATTATCGGTCACTCTAATCAGATTTTCATTCAGTATTCAGTTCACCAGACGTAACGGTACATTATACGATTATACACGCGGTTATATAGAGACAGGGGCGCCGCGGTGGCTAGGAGATGTTAACTACCTCGCCTGGTATACAGGAGGTCGTGGTTTTGATCCCGACCCTGACGCCTGCTGCTGTATATTTGGAGTTTGCGTGTCTCTCTCCAAGTGGTCGTGTGGGGTTTTTTCCGGGGTCCTCCGGTTTTTCCCTTCTCATTGAGAAACGTGCGTTTAGAGTATTTGGCTGCTGCTATACACTTCCACGTGATAAGCCACGTCGTTGGGCTATCACTTGTGGCCAGGTCGTTTCTTGAACTACATAGCTCTTACCTTGTGAATACATTCTTTTTTAAATAGTTTATTGCAAAGAGAGTAATTCATTAGTGTGTGGGAGCACCACACCACCACTCCTGCCTGCCTGCAGGAACTCTTTTTGAGTCCAGCGACTAATTTGCGATCCTCAAGCGAGTTCCCGTCAGAGTCCCCAGAGGGTACACGTCCGAGGAGGCACTGCACCCTCGTTCGCCAGAGGAAGGTGTCGAGTAATCTCCGCCCGTCCCATCTGTGCGGGGATCGAGCGTTGCCCCCCCCCCCCCCCCGCACGCGTGGGTTTTGTTCCGGGTGCTCCCGTTTCCTTCCACGCGCACAGGAAAACTCATCAATTTGGCTCCGAACAACTGAGTGTGAATGTCAACGTGCGCTCTGTGCGTGTCGCCCATCGCGCCGTGCGATGCAGTCGCTACTACGCAAGCAAACACATTCCTGCTGCTGCTGCGGAAGGAGCTGGTAGGAACGTTGGGTTGCTCGGTCAATGGCCAGGGTCAACGCGGCATGGTGTATTCTGCAAATATACCCGACTGTGAGGGCGGGCACAAGCCGGCGTGAGTAGGTTAAACGTTGAGTTTTATAAGGGCACCACGGGGTGACCAGCCCCTCCCCACCCAGCCCCACCACTCCCACCCCCCACCCAGCCCCACCCTCCCCACCCAGCCCCTCCCCACCCAGCCCCTCCCCACCCTACCCAGCCCCTCCCAGCCCCTCCCTCCCCACCCGACCCCTCCCTCCCCACCCAGCCCCTCCCCACCCAGCCCCTCCCTGCACGACGGACGGACGGACACAATAATCCCCTGTGGGCTGGTGTAACCAGGAGGTTCCTACCAGTATAAACAAACTAACTCCACAGCATGACGACCACAAATCGTGCTGTGGAGAAATTGCAGCGCTGCAACGCAGACGACACACAGAGAGAGAGAGAGGGAGAGCGCAAATCGTCTTGAGTGAGGCGGCCTGCTGATGGCGCAGCGAAGAACGGCGTGCCTGCCCCGCGGCGATGAGCATGGCTCTGCTATAATTACGAGCAGATCGATAGTCTCGTCGAAATATACAAACGCGCGTCGATGCCCGATCTCAATTTACCTGCCAAACAGAATGCAGCAGCAGCAGCATTCTG